CCCCCGCCGTGGGGTGCCTTCCTCTGGCTCTCCCCCCACTAACCGTGTTGTTGAATCCGTAACAATGAGCACCTGCGACAAGCCGCGGACTCTCCGTACCCCTTGGATCTGCCGGCCTCGGAGGGCGGTGGCCTGGGGCAGGAGCCCGTGTCTCCCCAGCCGGCGTCTCCTGAGGAAGCAGGTCCCCGACAGCCCAGCCGGGTGGCAGCAGCCGCGTCGCCGTTAGAGGACACAGGTTGTCAACCATTTCTTTGCAGAAAACACCCAGCGAGTCGGGTGCAGGAGCAGACAGGCCCGGACTCCTCGGACGGCAGCTCGGGCCCCTTTCCACCAGCGGCAGCCACTTCCAGCCGTCGGCCCGGAGCAGCCCTGTCCTCGAGGGCAACGCCTGGCCTGCGCCACCCACACCAGCAGCCGTCAGCACCTGAACTGTCACTCTGGCCCAGGGCCCCCCGGCATCGGACAAGGCAGGAGCGCCCGCGGCCTGCTGTGCGCACTGGGCGGGCTGCCCTCCCTTCTGCGCTGTGGCCCCAGCAGCCAATGCGTCGGCGTTGTCAGGAGCTGAGAAGGGGGCCGGCGTCCAGCCCAGAGGCTGCAGCCCAGGAATGGAGGCGACGGTCGGCCGTGAGCGCCGCCCCCTGGTGAGAGCTGGAGCTACAACCCGCCTCCAGGACCAGCACTTCCCTTGGGACGCGGGGGGTAAGTCCACGAGCACTTCCCCGGACGGTAGGTGGGAAATCTGTTCTCTCGTTTGTCTCAGCTGCGGGCTCCTCACCTCCCCAAGCAGGTCCCAAACAGTGAGGTGGTGACTTCTCCGCGGGGCCTTCTCAGCGTCTCAGGTCTTCGGTGTCGCAGTGTCCCCGGGCCAGGCCCCCTGTACCTCCCACCCCAACCTCTGGGGCGGAGCTCGGGCTTGTGCGTTTAATGGAGCAGCCAGGGTGAGGGGCCTGGGCGACTGGCCCGGTGCCGAGTCATCTGCGTCTCCCGCCTTTTCCGTCCCCCGCGCCTGCCTCCGCAGCCCCGTAAGGGCCAGTGGCCGGCCGGCCGGAGCCCGCACTGTTGGCCCCTCAGCTCGCTGCCGGCCCCTCAGCTCGCTGCCCACACGCTCCCCCGCCCAGCTCTGCGTCTGCTCTCGCAGCAAACTCGGCTCCCCACTGTCCTACGCCTGGGCTAGAACCCGCACACTTGCTCAGCGCCCCACTTCCGGGAAAGGTCCTAGGAAGAGAGGTGTGGTTAGAGCCCCTGGGAATGGGCCCGGGGTCCCACTCACCACCCTGGACCCCTCGACCCTGCTCTGCTCACCAGGGACCCCAGACCACGTGGGTGCGACCAAGGGGGAGGCTGGCTTCCTCCTCTCACGGGTACACTCTCTCCCTGTCTCCCCAGGAGAGCATGGGGGACCCCCACCTGCAGGGACCCCCACCTGCACAGGCCTGGGGCCTGGGCACTCTCCCTGCCCTCCCCGTAACCCAAAGGGGGCCGGCCCAGGGTGGGTAACTGCCATTGACCCTGGCCCGGGGGCCGTTAGGACGCTGAGGTGGGGGAGCTCTGGACCCCACCTCCATGGCAGGCTGGGGGTGTTGGACTCGGCCACGTAACTGCCGGTGGCAAAGGGTGTCACAGAAGCGTCTTCCAAATGGATACCCCCCCCCCAGCTGCATTGATTCACAAGTGCTGCTATTAAGGCAGAATTTGTGGGAAATTGTTTTCAGGCCACAGGAGACCTGTTTGTACAGCTTGGAGGTTGCATTTATTTAATATACCTCGAGGGGTTTTCAGAATGATCAATGTTTTAATAAAACTATTTCTGGCCTCTGCACCTGAGGGCTGACTCGGGCAGACACAGCAGGGAAGAGCCCGTCCTCTTTGCTGGTGAGCGGGATCCCGAGGGAGGGCGCAGGCTGGGCTCCGGGAGGCTGGCCCTGCAGTGCAGGGCACCCTGGGCCGCCCGGCTGTGCTTCTCAGCACCCTCTTGGGGGCGTTGTTGGGAGGGGGCAGGTGCCCAGACAATGTAGGTGCAGCCAGTGCTGGCCCATTGCCGCCCCTTCCTGCACGTGCCCTCCAGGATTGCAGCCCCCGGCTCAAAGCTCTTGAATTTGGATTTTTTATGTGCATCACTGGGTGGGTCCCCCACCCTTGCCTGCATGTCACTTGTTAGCTGTTGGTTTCCCCTCAGGGTCCTGCTCACCAGCCTTGTCTTGGGCACCGCAGGGACGTACCCCTGACTCTCCAGAGACGCTCCTGCTCATCACATCACCCAAGGGTGTGGCCACCCCTGAACACTTCCTCACTGGCCCACAGCAGGGAGTGAGACTGCCTGTGGGTGGCCAAAGGTGGGTCCTGTTGTCCAAGGTCCCCAGGCCTTGTGACCCCAGCTAACGTTCACACTGCCTCCCCACCCCAGGTGACCCCAGGACTGTGGCCACAGAGAAAGATAAATCAGGGGAGTCCTGCTGTCATTCAAGACAGGCTGCCAGGGACCCGCAGGTAAGGAGATGCTGGGGAGGGTGGTCCGACTGCATTACACACACGTGCGCCTCTCCCTCCCTCCCTGGGCAGCCTGGTGACCTGGCCCCATCGCTGACCCTCCAGCCACCGCGGGGCCTGGCTGCCCTGACACCTGGAGCGCCCCCTGCCGACCTGGTCGGGGAGAGCTCTCGAGGCGCCAGAAGGGACGCTAAGCAGGCACCAGGTCACCACGTTCCTCGAACCCCGGGGTGGACACCAGTAATGGGTGGAAGGTGTGGCGTCGGCGCCTCTGTTAACAAACGGGCCACGCAGACAGCGTTCGTGGTGACGTCGGGTTTATTAGTGGTATCGCGAGTCTTCCTAAGGCGGCTGCATGCAACACACAGGTCACTCCGTGTAAGGCTTCTTATCACAGTGTATCTCAGGGCCTGGGCCGGGGGCTTCCAGACGCAGGCGTCGGGGAACTGAGCTCTAGGGCTGGGCTAGACTACGCTGGAGTTATGTACACACCCCACTGCTGCTCGCGGCGACCGCGCCCGGCCCCGGGGGTGCGGGGGCGAGGTGTCTGCGGGGAGCACGCGTGTGTAGAGGGATTGTCAGTAGAGGGCCACGGCCCAGGCTGCCCTCCTCGTCTTGGGGATGCGAGTGCCCAGGTGACGATGGGCAGCCGGTGTGGTCACGGGTCATCTGAAGGCCCTTGAGTCTGAAGAACGGCTTTAAAAGTCCAACAGTGGTGTTTCCTAAGTAACTGGCATTTGATGTGACCACCAGCCCGTGTTTAACTCAGGAACGGCTCCTTCTCAAAGTCCAACACAGTCGTGCTCCCAAACCTCGCTTACGGGAGAGCCGGGCAGCGCACTTCCTCGGACGACGCGGCGACGCCAGCAGCCCGTCGGGGGCCTCCCTCCGCGGCCACGGGAGGACCGACCACACCACAGAGGTACACACACACCTTGTCAGTCGCGATGAGAACAGATCGGGACGCAGCAAACACGACTGTCCACGGGGACTGTTCCTGGGACTCTCCTCTGTAAAGACGGGCCCTGCAGGGTCCCTGGCGGGCCGTGGGCTCCGGTCCTGGGTCCTAGATGTACAGCGGGGTCTCCTGGCCGGTGAGGAGCCGGAACATGGCGGCGGGCATGGTTTTCATGTGGATCTGCCAACGAGAGAGGGGCTGAAGCTCTCCCTGCCTCCCCACCGCCCGCGGGTGTGACAGTCCCCGAGGGTTTTCTGGGTGCAGGAAGAATGACCCCTCATGGACAGAGTTCCTGACGCTCAGACTGTGACCCGGCCCCACCCAGGTCTTCAGCTGCTTTTACTTAAGGTGTAGTTCTCCCTGCAGCCCAAGCTGACGCCAGGCGGGGACGGAGGGGACCCTGGGCGGGGGCCCCTCGGCTGGGTCGGCACGTCTCACCTCTCCCACCGAGTTGGACAGAGCCTGCACGATCTTCTCGTGGGCCGTGGCCACCACGCTCTGCCCGTTGATCTCGATGATGCGGTGGCCCACGCGGACGCCCCCTCGCTCGGCGATGCCTCCCCGCATGAGGCTGCAGATCTGAGGAGACACGCGTCAGTCAGCTCACTGTTCCCGCCACGCCTGCCAGGCGCGCGCCCCTGTCCCTAAGACGCAACAGGACGACTGGACCCTGCAGGAGACACCCCTCCTGACAGATGCTGCCGTACAGCTGCCGTCTGAGGTTTTTGCATCTTTTTAGGGGTCCTCGTACCTAAAGGCAGGGAACCCCAGCCGAGGTCAGGAAGGGTGACTCTGGCCAGCATCGAGAGTTCAGGGTCAGCCACCCGCAGGAGGCACAGCCGTGGGACAGGCAGGCCCTGCTCCCAGCGCACCGTCCTTGTCACTCCACAGCAGGACTCTCCGTGCCCTGGGGTGACCGCCTTCCCTCAGCTCGGGGATGCCCGCCTGTCCGAGCCTTGTCCAACCCCAGCTGGAATCTGGGGGCAGGCTCCAGCCGCCCTGGACTGCTCAGGGGCGGTGTCTCCCAGCTGGAGGCCTCTTCGCTTCTCCGAGGGTGTTTCGGGAAGAGAGAGGAGGGACCCACAGAGAAACAGCAACAACTGGGTCACCCAGGGCCTGCCTGCAAACTGCTGCATTGTACTTTGGGTGAAATGAAGCTGAAAATGGAAAAGGCACTTGAGCAAGACTAACACCAATGTCGGCAAACTTTCCCAGGGACTCTCGGGAACCTGGCTGCGTGGCACACACGTCAGTGGGCACGAGGCCCCTCCGGAGGAGAGACCAGCCATCGGGGCCTCGCACGCACTTCTCCCAACGCCCTGGGCCCAGGACACAAACCGACCAGCCTCTGCAATGCTCTCAGATGCCCCACATCCATACCTGCGCTCGCCCGACACCGAGCCAGTGTCTGAGGACTGGCAGGGGCGCGGCCTCAGGCCCAACCCTGGCCCTGCCATTTCCAGCTGGGAGCCAAGGGACCAGTGACTTCATCTCCCTGTGAAACGGTGTCAGACAATGCCTCGAACTGACAGACAGATGGGCCTGGGGCCTGGCAGCACTTGCAACGATGGAACTACACGGACCAGAAAGCAGGCGTCCTCTGCACCATGCTCGTGGCAGGGTGACTCGCAGCCACCAAGGTGAAGGTAGGCACTGCTGCGTCAGCATCTCCACCAGACGTGCTGAGACTCGGGACGTTTGTTACGCAGCAAGTCTGCCCCGACCCAGAGGGCGAGAGCCGGGCCCTGGGCACCAGACAACAGCGGGGGAAGTTCTGCCTCCTTTGCAGTTGCCTTTCTAGAAAGTTTTCCCAGAACCAAGGAAACAGCTCACACTGGCCCCACATAGGTCAGCGAGATAATGGGATTTGGGGGCTCGAGCCCCACATCGCCGCCTCCTGGAAGCCCTCTGCCTCCTCAGTGCCTGGTACAGCGCCTGACACGGGGCAGAAACAACGCACAGGACTGACCGGGTGAACGAATGAATACACAGGTCAGTGGCATCTGCTGGTTAAACACAGTGAGTCTGATGCTGTGGTGGCTGAAGGGGTCCTGCCTCCCCTCATTTGCAGAGAGCGACCATCACGGGGCCGAGGGCAGGGCTTGAGGGACCCCCTCTGCCTGGCTCCAGGACCCAGCTCCCTGCACCCAGACCCTAGTGTGGAGGCCGCAAGGACAGAGAAAGTGGACTCACGATTCCGTTCTGCACGCTGAAGCCCAGCTGGTACTTGAGGTCTGGCCGCTTGATGAGGACCGTGGTGACCGGTGGGCAGCTGACAATGTTGAGCTTCACCTGCGTCTGGTTCTTCAGACCCTGCGGAGTGGGGGCAGAGGTCAGGTGAGCACAGTCTCCGGGGCCAGCCAAGGAGGGGTCAAGGCATCAGCCACCCTGACGTATGCAGGGTGGCTGGGCACCCAGGTGGCAGTGTGTGCTGTGGCCCCCTGTGCCAGGCTCGGTGACGCTGTGCGCAGCCACCAGCTGGCACCAGCCACCCTGGGTAGTGGGGATGCCTGGCTCGGTGAAAACCTGCTAGTGTCCACACCGAGACGGCCAGCTGGAGCCAAGGGCAGCCTCGGGTCCCAGAGAACACAACTGTCAACAAGTGCCCCAGGCCGAGGTTCTGGGAGGTGAGGAGGGGAGGCCCAGGCCTCACCATGGCTTCNGGCCCCCTGTGCCAGGCTCGGTGACGCTGTGCGCAGCCACCAGCTGGCACCAGCCACCCTGGGTAGTGGGGATGCCTGGCTCGGTGAAAACCTGCTAGTGTCCACACCGAGACGGCCAGCTGGAGCCAAGGGCAGCCTCGGGTCCCAGAGAACACAACTGTCAACAAGTGCCCCAGGCCGAGGTTCTGGGAGGTGAGGAGGGGAGGCCCAGGCTTGTGCTCCCTCCTTTGGCCACTCATGAGCCCTGGAGGTGGCCTGGAGCTGCCCGGAGGGGTGGGTAAACCCCCCCCCACAGCCGGAACTGCAGCCTTCAGTGGGAGGCTCCACGCCAGCCAGGCCTCGGGCACCACTGAGGCATGTCCCATGTCTGTCTGTCTGCAAGGTCACCCATCAGGCAGACATCCTGCTGGGCCAGCTCTCAGGGTCAGGCTGANGCCAGCCAGGCCTCGGGCACCACTGAGGCATGTCCCATGTCTGTCTGTCTACAAGGTCACCCATCAGGCAGACATCCTGCTGGGCCAGCTCTCAGGGTCAGGCTGACAAGGAGGAGGGAGACGTTTCCTCCAGCACCAAGACCACGGTGGGTGGGGACAGACCACAGACAGGATGCAGCGTGGGGCCTGTTGTCCGGAGGCCCTGACCAGAGCAAAGGCTCTGCTGAGCTGGGACCTCCAGGGCAGTGTGTCTGATCTTCCTGCCCGCAGGCTCGCAGCTCTGGGGCGGCCAGGTGTGAAAGCCCCTGTCCCACCTGCTTGTGTCCCCTCCTCCTGGCCCTCCAGAGGTCTAAAGCTGCAAGCTCACAGGTTAAGCAAGAGAGGCCACTCTCCCGGTCTGCCTGGGAAGTGGGAAAGTCCAGGCAAAGCAGGACGGCTCGGTCNCAGAGGTCTAAAGCTGCAAGCTCACAGGTTAAGCAAGAGAGGCCACTCTCTCCCGGTCTGCCTAGGAAGTGGGGAAGTCCAGGCAAAGCAGGACGGCTCGGTCACCCTACACCTGCGCGTCACGTGGGTCAGCACTGGGCTGAGTGAGACCGAATGTGCCCCCACCTCCGGGGCAGCCAGGTCCTCCTCTGACTTCAGCGGGGCGGCACAGTCTTGGGTGGGTCTCTGGACTCAGAGCCTTGAGGGTAAAGTGAGGTGGGGCCGCCCCGTGCGCCTACCTTGATGATGCCCTGGCAGGTGGCGAGGGGCAGCCCCACCAGGCTGGTGCCGTTGATGGACATGATCTGGTCCCCGATGCTCAGCTTCCCCGAGCGGGCGGCGGGGCCCCCGTTCATCATGTTGGCCAGGATCACCGTGGGCAGGATGGAGCCCCAGCCCGACTCCACCACCACCACGCCCAGGATCTCACCCTTGTGCTTCTCCAGCTGCAGCTGCGAGGAAACCAGGGGGTAAGTGGCGCCCGTGGTGGGGCTGCCTCCCCCGGGCCTGGCCCCAGCCCACCCCCAATTCTGGAAACCGGGAGTAAAGACGCCCCCAGCCCCAGGAATCCAGGGAGGGGTGGTCTCGGACTCCAGGGCTCAAACCCTGAGCCCACTTTGCTTTTGTCTACGAAAGACCTTGTTTTCTCTCGGCTTCAAGAGCCACGGCCTCAGAAAGCTGCCTGCCCTCCGCGCACAGCAGCCTGGGCCTTTCCCCTCCCCTGGGCACCCGCTCCTGCTGGTAGCTTGGGACCGCCCCTGGGCAGAGCGCCCCAGGTCCAGCTGTACAGATGCCTCCCCTGGGTGCTGAGCTCGTGGCTAACAGCAGAATCAAGAGGCCCATTTTCAAGGTCGTTAGGACTGTGATCAGCTGCTTTGTTACAGCAAACACCTCATTTCACACTCAGGTGCTCAGCTCCCCAGGGGCATCTCAGCCGCTGTGGGGACGGGTCTGCGCCCGCCTCGCCTCGGAAGGCCTGCTGGAGTCCGGTCTGCACACGGGGAGAGGCTGGGCGCCCGGCCGGGGCGGCACCCGGTGCGTGGCTCACCTCCTTGCAGTTCTCCGAGTTGGAGAAGTGGATGAGGTCGTCGTTGTACAGCTCCTGGGTGCTGATGACGTCGCTGTACTCCTTCTGGCTCAGGTCCTCGGGGTTGATGCCGTTCGCCTGCAGGAACTCCTGGTAGGCCACGCTGAAGGCCTGGCCGATGGACTGCGCGATCAGCTGCGCCTGCGGGGAGGGCGCCTTAGAGACCCGCTGGGACACGGGCTGGGACCCCCTCCTGGGGAAGCTGCCTCCCCACCGGCACTGCTCCACGTCCGCTGTCCCTACGAGCACCTGGCCCTGATCCCCCCGAGCTGCTTTAAGTCCCAGACATTCTAGGACTGAGCACAGTGTCAAAAAAAGTGCGAAACTTATAAATTATTTGCTAAACATCAGAGTCTCGTTGCTTTCATTGGCGACTGCTGTACCTTCTGCCCGCCCGTCTTACTCCAGAAGGAGCCACGCGGTGTCCTCTGGGAGCGTCACAGACACTGCTGGCGTCTGCCCTGGTCCTCTCTGTTGCCTGGGGAGGCTGGCGTGTGCGCGGCGCGGTGGGGAAGGGGTGGCTGTGCCAGGTGGAGGGCGAGAGACCTGGGACCCCAGCCAAAGGCCCCACGAGCAGATGGAGCAAACTGCTTCCCTACGTCAGTGAGCCACTGACACCGAAAGTTCACCCCGGGCCTGCCTGTCCCTGGAAGGTGCATAGAAGCGGGCAGGAGGCGAAGGCCCAAGCCCTGGAAGTGCTGGGGACACTCACAGCTGTGCAACCCCAACAGCAATGGGACTCTTGGCGGCTTCTTCCCTCAGCAGGGCCTCCTCCCCACCTGCCATCAGGTGGCCTCTGCATGCCCCCCCCTCCCCCAGCAAAGCTCAGGAACAGGACCCGAAAACAGGTGACGAGAGAGCGGGCCTAAATGCCCCTTCTGACCACACACCCCGCATCCGCTACTGACCGCGCACACTCGGGCTGTGTGAAGGACCGTCCTGCGTGAGAGAGGCTGGCCGAGGACCGAGACGTCCTCACACGGTGCTCGTGAGGCTCCCACCTGGGCCCTGAACACTTTACAGGAAGGACCAGCGGGCGCTCGTTCGGCAAACAAGCNCCCCAGGGGCATCTCAGCCGCTGTGGGGACGGGTCTGCGCCCGCCTCGCCTCGGAAGGCCTGCTGGAGTCCGGTCTGCACACGGGGAGAGGCTGGGCGCCCGGCCGGGGCGGCACCCGGTGCGTGGCTCACCTCCTTGCAGTTCTCCGAGTTGGAGAAGTGGATGAGGTCGTCGTTGTACAGCTCCTGGGTGCTGATGACGTCGCTGTACTCCTTCTGGCTCAGGTCCTCGGGGTTGATGCCGTTCGCCTGCAGGAACTCCTGGTAGGCCACGCTGAAGGCCTGGCCGATGGACTGCGCGATCAGCTGCGCCTGCGGGGAGGGCGCCTTAGAGACCCGCTGGGACACGGGCTGGGACCCCCTCCTGGGGAAGCTGCCTCCCCACCGGCACTGCTCCACGTCCGCTGTCCCTACGAGCACCTGGCCCTGATCCCCCCGAGCTGCTTTAAGTCCCAGACATTCTAGGACTGAGCACAGTGTCAAAAAAAGTGCGAAACTTATAAATTATTTGCTAAACATCAGAGTCTCGTTGCTTTCATTGGCGACTGCTGTACCTTCTGCCCGCCCGTCTTACTCCAGAAGGAGCCACGCGGTGTCCTCTGGGAGCGTCACAGACACTGCTGGCGTCTGCCCCGGTCCTCTCTCCTTAGTGAGAACCCAGTGTTGCCNTGCCTGGGGAGGCTGGCGTGTGCGCGGCGCGGTGGGGAAGGGGTGGCTGTGCCAGGTGGAGGGCGAGAGACCTGGGACCCCAGCCACAGGCCCCACGAGCAGATGGAGCAAACTGCTTCCCTACGTCAGTGAGCCACTGACACCGAAAGTTCACCCCGGGCCTGCCTGTCCCTGGAAGGTGCATAGAAGCGGGCAGGAGGCGAAGGCCCAAGCCCTGGAAGTGCTGGGGACACTCACAGCTGTGCAACCCCAACAGCAATGGGACTCTTGGCGGCTTCTTCCCTCAGCAGGGCCTCCTCCCCACCTGCCATCAGGTGGCCTCTGCATGCCCCCCCCTCCCCCAGCAAAGCTCAGGAACAGGACCCGAAAACAGGTGACGAGAGAGCGGGCCTAAATGCCCCTTCTGACCACACACCCCGCATCCGCTACTGACCGCGCACACTCGGGCTGTGTGAAGGACCGTCCTGCGTGAGAGAGGCTGGCCGAGGACCGAGACGTCCTCACACGGTGCTCGTGAGGCTCCCACCTGGGCCCTGAACACTTTACAGGAAGGACCAGCGGGCGCTCGTTCGGCAAACAAGCCCAGCTCCCTCCCCAGACTAGCATCTTGGTGCTGCCGGTTGCTGCCCGGTTGCTGCCCGGAGGCTTAGAGGCCCAGTGCCCAGCGACCCAGGAGATGACGCGGGCGGGGACACACCTGAGAACACCGCTGAGGCCAGGGCTGGCTCCACCCCACTGGGGTCTCAGGGTTTGAAGCCGTCCCCAGGCCTCTGGGTCCATCTCCGCCTGACCGAGGAGCCCTGGCTGGGAAGCTGGTCTGACAGCATTGCTCTCTTCACCCCCAGGTAAAGAGCCTAAAGAGGTGTCTGCTGGGACCCCTGACCCCACCGCATGGGGGCTCCCGGGGACGGGGAGGCCATTATGCCGGGCTCCTGTCTCCCGCCCACCTTGCCTTCTGGATCCCTTCCCCAGATCGGGGTGGGGCACCCTCAGGACCCTACAAACAAGGGGCTCTCCTGCCGCCCAACTCCCAGCCAGGGCCCGAGGTTTTCACTGCAGGGAGGCCAGGAGCCCGGCCTGGGCAGGTAGGGAGTGGGCACGGGGCCCAAATCAAGGGCTGGCCCTCCAAGGTGGCCTCCTGCAGGTGGCCCGAGGAGGGGAGGGGACAGCGGCTTTGCCCCAGCACTTTCATCTCTGCAACTCATCTACCCTGGTCCGAGGGGAAACTGAGGCTCCAAGAGCTCCACCGGTGTCCTTAATGCCACCCTCCATTTCTCCAGGTGCTCCTCTGCTCTCAGACCCTCAGCCACCGTCCGGGTCCTGCACTCTGGGCAGCTGCTCGGTGTCCCCCTCACACCCCACCAGGGGGTCCTCCTGTCACTGCTCGAAGGACAAGGACACCCCCACCCCACCCCCGCGACCAGGCTCAGACACATGCTCTCATCCCATTCAGGGATGGAGCCCAAGGCTTTCTGGTCCCTTAGCGAGTCTACCAAGTTTTAAACTTCAGAATTGATTTTTAACAAGTTGGGACCTGAAAGGGCCACGAGCAAAAACAGAGCCAGACTCAGGTGAGGATGCGCCTCCCTCGCCGCGGCCCCGGCACGTGACAACGCGCATCCCGGCGACAGCAAAGTCAGCCCGGGCGCTTTCCGTTAGGAGAAAAAGGCTTGTTGAGGGGTTTCTCCAAATAGCTGGCTCCCCCAGAACGTGTGACTACGGCTCATCTTAGCAACAGCCCCTGAAGAACTCGTGTCATAAAGTCGAATAAAACCATGTTCGCTCTCTGCCATCTCGAGTGTTAGAAAAGCCACAGATTCAATGGCAACGCCGACGGCAGTGCCCGGGGTGCCCACCTGCCACGTGGTTTCCATGGAACCTGGGATCCCGGAGCCCCGGGGCTCTGGGTGTTGCGAGGGGCTCGGCCGGCTCATTACTCACGTCCTCGGACTCGAACACGTGGCAGATCATCTTGTATTGCTTCCTGCCCTCCTGGGCGCCCGGCGTGGTCTCGATGCAGTCCTGAGAGGCCGACCGCGGCATGCGCCGCCGGGCCATGAGCACCACAATGTTCCCGATGTCCGCGATGTAGGAAATAGTGCGCAGGGCGTGGTCCATCATGGTTTCCTGTCGGGAGGGACGGGGGTCTGCGTTAGGGACCGCCTTGGGGACCGAGCCCTTAGAACACATGAGTTCACGGGTTCTACAGGTTCAGGCCCAGCCCATCCTTGACTGTGAAAGGCCGTCCACGCCCTGGAGTCTGTCAGTCGCATCCCTGGCCNTGTCTGCTCCCCGAACGCGCGTCTGCAGCCAAGCCGGTCGGACCCGGGCTCTGCGCCTCGGGTGTGGGACTCTGAGCGTCCCCAGGAAATTTCCAGAGACGGTGCATTGAAACGTCAGCGTTTCCTTCCAATTGAAACAGCCTCGCTCGTGTCAACCTCCCCGCAGGCTCGGTCCCCAAAACCCTAAGGGAAGCCAGACCCAGGCTGGNGAAAAAGAGCTCCAGCCCTTGCTAAGTATGTCCCCTGGGGGACAAAACTGCCCCAGGTTGAGACCCGCTGCAGGGTGGCGGTTCACGGTCAAGGCAGGCCCCTGCCTTCACTCAGCCCACAGCTTCCAAACAGCGCTCTTGGGGGCACACTGCTGGGTGGGGCCGTGGTCCCCATGGCAAGGGGAGCAGGGAGCCTGCCCCCACCTGATCAGAGGCCACCGTCGCTCTGGAGCAGGGTCCCCTCCCTCAAAGCGTGTGCCTGGCCCAGGCTTCCTGCCAAGTAGAGGAGGGGCTTCCAGGCCAACGTTGCCCACGATGAGTCCCTCGAGGGAGCCCGAGCAGCCCGGGCCCAGGCCAGGGGACACCAGGGCAGCTTGCCCGGCTCCCATCGATGGGGCCCCGCAGCCATGCAAGTCCCTGGGCCCCCGGAGGGTCCATCGCTCTGGCCTTTGCCCCCTGGCAGGAGTCTCCCCGAGCACCTTGCCCGTCGCCCCTACCGAAGGAGGCTGCTCACAAAGGCTCTGGGAGACCAGTCAGCTGGTCCTTCACGCCTTTGTCCCCTTTCCACAAAAGCAGGCCGGTGTCTCCGCAGCCCGAGGCCTTTCCTTCCCCAGAGCCGCTGCTGCAGTGACTGCTGCGCACATTTGTCTTCCTTGGGCCGGTTTGTTTTCTGGCCAAGGCTGTGGGGTGGTTTATAACCACAGGAGCCGCGTTTCAGGAAGGGGCAGTGGAAAGGGCGGTCGGGGTGGCCCTTCGGCACCTCCTGATTCCTAGCCTCTGCCAGAAGTGCCCCGATCAATCTCCAGGTGTCAGAAAGGGGCTCCTCTCCCAGCTCCCAGCGCATGTCAATGGCAGGGCCACCTCCTCACAGGAGGCCGCCTCCCAGCATCGCACCTGTGAGCAGGATCACCTTCCAACACGGCCACCTCCCAACACCCCTACTACAACACCCACCTCCCAACACCCCTACTACCAGCATCACGGCTCATAACACCCCACTTCCCAACACCCCGCCTCCCAACACCCCGCCTCCCAACACCCCTACTACAACACCCACCTCCCAACACCCCTACTACCAGCATCACGGCTCATAACACCCCGCCTCCCAACACAGCCAGCTACCGACACCCGCCTCCCGGTACAGCCATCAGCCCCTCTCCTGTCCTGACCACCCGGCCCCCACCGGCTCCCTCATCTGCCTCCCCCTCCGCCCCTCTGCCCCGGTTTCTCAGTCCGCCCAGTTTCCTGCCGCCACTCTCTTCCGGTGCATCCTGAACGGCGCCTGGGAAGCAGCCCGCACGCTACAGGCAGCCGCCCACCCCAGACGCCTCCCGGGCAGCCAGACCCCAGCTCCTGGGACCTCCTGACCCAGCCCCCCAGCTCTGTCTCCACGTGGCCCTGGCCCGAGGCTCCAGGGCGCCCGCTGCAGCCAGCCCGCATCCCGTGGGCCCCGCGTGGGGCATCAGCGGTTCGCCCGCACGGATTTAAACAGCCGCCTGCGAACGCTCACCTGTGTGTCCGCGTTTAACACCTTGATCCTCTGGGTGGAGATGAACAGGTCCACTTCGGTCAGCGTCTGGGCGTCCCCCTCGGAGTTCTAAGGGAGGACAGGGGACACTGTTACAGGTCAGGAGCCGGCTGAGCGACGCCGACCATACCCGAAGGGCCCCGGGCGCCCTAAGGGGCCACGCGGTGGCGTGGAGCGGCCATCGCAGCGCGTGGCGCCCTCCGCGAGGGGAGCCGAGTGAGCTCCGCGGGCAGGCGG